GGACCTACTGGGGCCGTTTACAACATCAAATTCGGCAAACAAATGGATTGTCGTAGCTACTCACTACCTCACCCGCTACGCCAAAACAGGCCCTACCGAAAGGTACCGCCGAAGAGATAGCCAAGCTCTTCATTGAAAACATTGTCCTTTGCCATGGTGTCCTAGAGGTTGTCATCACCTATAGAAATACGGTACTTACTGCTCAACTGACTCAAGCGATCTTTAGACATAGCCAGACAAGCCACCACTGCCTACCACCCACAGACAAATGGTCTCACCAAGCGGCTAAACAAGACAATCGCCGACATGCTGGCCATGTACGTCAATGTCGAACACAAGACGTGGGACGCCATCCTTTCATACGTCACCTTCGCATACAACACGGCCGTACAGGAGACGATGCAAATGCAACCGTGCAATTTGGTTTACGGAAGGAACGCAGCGAACGACGCTCGACGCAATGCTGCCCAACGTCGCTGACGAAAGCCTTGACGTCACCCTTTATCTTTAGCGGGCTGAAGAAGCTCGTCAACTCGCCCACTTGCACATCACGAATCGGCAGATGACAGATTTCCAACATTACAATCTTCGGCGACGCTTCGTGGAACACCAGCACAGTCAACAAGTTTGGGTACGGATGCTGATACACCGACGTGGACTCGATGAAAAACTTCTGCGACGGCACTTCGGACCATACAGGGTAGCACGACGTCTCAGTCCACTCGACTACGAGGTTGTCCCCGACGGCATTACGAACTCTCAACGACGGCGATCACGACTGGAAGTCGTCCATATCGGGCGCCTCAAGCCGTTTCGTGATCATTTACGAACTGAAATAGTGTATTTTGTTGTTGTTGTTGTTATCGCTGTTTTTTAGATCATTTTTTACTTGTGCTTTCTTGCATTAATGTTGCGCTTTTATCTTCTATTGAAGCATCGGGACGATGCCTTTTTCAGGGGAAGGGGGGGAGGCAATGCCATGTTTCTTTCATCAAGTTTTGTTATCACCCTTTTACACTACGTTCAGTGCAAACTGTGCCTACGACGTTCGAAAAGCTTCGAGGCTGTATTAGATCATTTTGTTAAGATTACGACGACTTCGTGAACATTACAGATTATTCTGGAAACTACGGCGCCATTAGCAATAACGCTAGAACACTCCATGGCAAGTGTATAAATGTCGACGTTTTCCTCGCTCCTATCAGTGCCAGTGTCTTGTTGTAATCTGACTTTCCTTTTATGTGGCCACAAGTTAGGCCCGAATAAACAGTTTATTATTCGACCATCCAGTCTCCTGCCTTCAGCCACATCACGAGGCTGTGACAATATAGTTGAGGCATGCAGACAAGTTTGTTCTCTCCAGTTATACGTCATTATTGAGTGTTGTTAGGATGGCAGGGTGCCTCGCCGTCGCATGCACTCCTGGTCAGCGTACAGGGTCTGAAGGTGTACTCACTGCGCTCAAGGAGGCTTCTATAAAGCGACGTTTAATGAGAGAACTGATGGAGCTCGAAGGTGAGAACGGCTACGGATGAAGGTTAGCAGACACACAGCCTGGCATGGGAGAGAGTGTGACACGCTGAGAATCTATCCCTTTGCGTGTTGTATTTGGTAACCTGGTTTTTACCAATGCAGTGTACATCATGAAAGTGTTCATGCAATCAGCGGTGATTATATAAGCCCCCACGCGTGATTGGCTTGAGTGGAGACCCTTTGTTCGACCTAAGGCTGAAAAGAGTGTGTTTGGATGTGAAAACGAGAGGGAAAGTTTGGGCTTGGTACTGGGCAGACACCCTTCACCGGATAACGGCTCTCCCTTCGCGCTTGCCACCAAGCAAGCACTCGAGTCATCAAGGGGCGCCCATTCCGAACCTCAACATCTTCCCTCCATAGCTAGTGTAGAAGCTGGTCGAGGAGTAGGAAATTAACTACAGTAGAATCTCCATGATACAATTACAGTTGATGTGAATTTCACGATGATACGGTTTTTAAGGTTGTTTCGGATGGTCTACATTACGTAAGATAGGCCGTCATTCGGTCATATACAAACAGTTTCCCCAGCCGCCGCAGATGATATGAACGCGCGAATGGCCATTTCGCATGAGCGACACGACTCCACTTTTCTTCACCTCTTGCGCTGCCCCAGCGGTGCAAACAGCGAAGAAGCATTGCATTCTCTCCTCGCCTGCTCTCCGCGCCCCTGCCCCCCCCCCCCCCCCCGCATGTCACCCATGAGAAAAGGACGACCACTCAGGCGCGGCGTGGGAAACGTGTCTGCGAGGGGAAGAGCGGCGACAGGTGCGGAGGAAGGAGTTCTTTCCTTCCTCCTTGGGTGACAGGCATGCGTGGCCTTTTTTGCCTCGGTCACGTGCCCGACAAGGTACATCAGCCCTTTCCAGGCAGCTCATTGGCCTTTTTTTTTCTGCTTTTTGATTGCAATGCCATTTTTACGTGGTGTGGGGGTTCTCATAAATGCCAGTTTCGCTGCTCCAACTGCTGTGTTCGTATCATCTTGCTGTGTTCGTATCATCTTTGAGAGTTTCTGGAAGACCGAAGCATTCGTTATGTCTAGGAAACTGAAGGCCCTTTTTTTTAAGGAAGAAATCAAATTTTACAGGAAGGTCGACGAAGACTTTTCTGAGAAGTTGATGAAAGAGTTAGGCATAGCACTGTCAACTTTCTGCACTATTGTTGGGCAGCAAGAAGTAATCTTGAAAAATTCCCAGCACTTCGGTGTGAACAGGAAGCAGGTGAAGACGGCTGCACACGTAAAGCTGGAAGACGTTCTGCTTACGTGGTTTCGTGAAGTGACGGCAGCTGGCGTCAACCTGGACGGCAAGGTGCTACGTAAAAAGGCGAACAACGTAGGGCTTTCTCTTGGCATTGACAACTTCCAAGCTTACGGCGCATGGCTGCATCATTTCAAAGAGCGGCACGGATTAGTTTACAGAGTTGTCAGCGGTGAAGCGAAGAAAGTGGACGAGTCACAGGGGAACTACTGGCTCAACACACTGCCGGCTCTGATTTTGGACTACGCACCGTGTGACATTCAATGGTGAGGAGGCGGGACTCTTCTTCAACCTTCAGACGGAGAGAAGCCTGTGTGTGAAGGAGCAGGCTTGCCAGGGTGTCACCGTGCTTTTTTGGGTAAATGCCGACGGCTCTGAAAACATACAGCTTATTGTCATGGGCAAATCGAAACAGCCAAGGTGCTTTCGATTGGCAGGAGTTTGCCTTGCTTGTACAGAAGAAATAAAAAAGTATGAATGACATCAGATCTTTTCCGCGAGTTTCTAACAACTTCGGACCGGAAAATGCCAGCAAGAAACATAAAAATTTTGCTTTTTATCGACCAGTGTTCAGCTGATCCAAAAGACTTGAAATTTAACAATGTCGTCATTAAGTTTTTAAATGATGGTGAAAGCAAAAAAAGTGCAAAAGAACATTGTGGACTTTTTCAGCAAGAAGTAGTTGATCACAATAATGTTATCGCTGATCTTCATGATCACCTGTATCTTGTTTTTGTTCATATGAATTTGGGATGATACAAATATTTAGTGCTTCTTTCGAATTCGTATCATAGAGATTCTTCTGTATATGCATAATTAATTTTAAGGTGCCAAAAAACACAATCACAAGAGAGGACACGGAACAGAGCATGATCAGCAACCGATTGATTTGCAGAAATGCATGCACATGTACAGTCAAAGCCTGCTACAATGTATGCTGCTTCAACGAAAAATTCTCGGTTCCTCATCAGTAGTCTATAAGAGTCAATGCATAAATATTCTCGCCACAACAAGAACTTTTTCTTCCGCCGTTCCTCTTCAACGAAATTTGACGATGCAATGCTAGGCTCAGACATTTAATGCCACGCACTAAATAGATTCTTGAACATTTTCATTCGTTTTCAGAACTTAAAAATACATCTACAAGTCTAAAATGTGCATTAGCACTACCAGGAGCCGCCGCCATTTACTAAGCATAGAGGCCACCATTGCTCAATAGTGATGGCAATGAGACTGCCCTGCTTTTACCTCTGGCTTACTTTTGGGCTGCAGATAATCCGAAGCTGAAGTTTAGTTTCCTACATGCTGCTGCTGGGTGCAATCGCGGAACGATGCCTTTTTCGATGCCAGTGCATATGGTAACTTTCATGCTTGGCCTGTGTAATCACTCATCAGAGTGGCAGTTCGTCTGCATTATCAACAAGACAAGCTACTAGTGAAGGATAAGTATAGCATAGAATAAGGCATAAGTCACGCCACATACCACGCCGGCAACTGTCAGGTTCATTCACGAAAGCCGTTGTGGCCGTTGTTTCAGCGTGCTTTTCAACATGGTGTCGCTATGCATGTGTGAGAATTATATCTAGATGCTTCTGGGGGGAAAAAAAAAGGAAGCAACTGAGCCTTCTCGAATTTTGGTAATAAAAGTTTCCATGTTTTGCTAGCTTAGGTCGGCTATATTTTATTCAATTTCACTGTAAGGATAATTTTTCTGCTCCCCGACCAGTTTCATTGTAGTGGGGTTCGACTGTATGATATATATATAATTTCTTAGAGTGTGCTCAGAAAACATGTCCATGTGAATGGGGGTCGATAACCCATGCTCAATGAACTTTTCCTCGTGTTTATGCAGCGCTACGAAAGTGTCACCAATACACGCCATCTCTTTTGCTAGCATAAAGGCTTCCATAGGTTCTGTGTCTGTTCTATCCGTGCTTCTGGTGATAACCCACACGTCAGAAAAGCTAGTCCTCAAAAGCTTGAAGGGCTTAGGCAAACTGAAATTACCCACTTGTGATGATATTTATTCCCGTCTTAAAATCAATTATGAATTGAACTGAACTCTGCCCACCGCTGTGACAAACACTGGGGACTCCTTGCATCTCTTTATTGCTGCAGGGAGTTGTTCAATAGTTTTAACCTGTTTTATGTTGCTTAATCTCTTGGTGTGCAGGACTGGAAGCATAAACTTGGAATATTTCTTCTGTGCAGGTTTGCGATCACAGTGTGGTATCTGGATGCGAATGAACGGAAAAATGCACTACAGAGGTTGCAGAAAGAACGTAAGTAACTACAACCTTATAGGTTGTACTTGTAAGAGAAGTTTGTAACAAAGGCCCTGGTGAATTAGCAAACTTTTAGACAAGGAAAAGTGTAGCAACCACAGGAAGACCTTTTTCATTCGAATTTTGCAGGACCATGCAGCAATATTGTCCTAACAGAATGTCAAAATACTGAAAATATTAGAAAAAGAATAAACGAATGCAGGAGTGCCACAGCTGGGCTGATTAGATGAAATTCCTCCCTTTTGTGCTGAGCTGCGCCAAAACCATGAAGTTTGCTGAAATTGCTCCATGCTGCACCAAAAGGCCAGACCAGCCTCAAAATTTTCTCAGTTGCGCTAGCTTTAGCGAGAAACAGAGGCCACATTGCCCAGCTGCAGTTTGAGAAAATTGCCTATTTGGTTCTTGCATTCCTGTCGTGCCATTTCGACATATGGGCACGAATTAGAATGTAAGAAGAGCTATTATAGTGTTTTTATAGTGCTTCTAAATACAAAGTGTTGGAACATATACTCTTCTCAAGCACAATGAAGCATCTAAATAACTCGCTGTTAAACAACTGCCAACAGGGCTTCCACCGTGGACTTTCCTGTGTCGCACAACTGACAGAGTTAACTCATGACCCCTCAAGTGCATTGTACGACAAAGGCGGCACCGTTGACTGCATATTTTTAGATTTCCAGAAGGCATTTGATGTTGTACATTATGACACAATAATTGAAAAGTTGTCATGGTATGGTATTGAGACCACTATGATTAGATGGATTAAAAATTATTTGTAGTGAAGGTGCTTAAAAGTTATAATTAATAGTAAAAAGTCAGGTGAGGCTTTCGTTACATCAGGGGTGCCTCAAGGGTTAGTGCTTGGTCCTTTGCTCTTCTCGATTTTTGTGAACTACATCACCGATAATATTTGTGTACAGATTACTGCATGTTGTATAGAGTGATTCATGACTAAAGCGATTGCATAATTTTACAAAATTGCATAATTTTACAAGGTGATATAGATTGGATTGCACATTGGTACATAGATTGGCATATGACAGTGAACGTTAGAAAAAACGATACATATGTGGTTTTCTAAAAAAAGAGCTCGACAGTTTTAAAGTATTCATAATATTAATGGAACACAGCTACTCTCCGTGCGCGAATTTAAATATTTGGGAATGCTCTTTACGCCGATTTATCATGGACACAACACAGTGACTATGTTGTCGCCAAAGTATCTCGGTTGCTGGGATATCTGAAAAGGAATGCCGAGCAATTTTTCCGTAAAAGCAAGGGCTCTACTATATCTTTCCAATGTGAGATCAGTATTTGAGTACGCTAGCACGGATCGGGATCCGTGGATGCAAATCGACAGAGACAAGCTGGAGGAGAGGGGGGTCACATTTTTTGCCCTTGTAAACTTTTTCCAGTTAACAGCACCGCATGCAGCTGATCTCCTGCCTTTGTTGCATTTGTGATCACACGCTTGCCCGCACACAAAAGCTTGATGCAGCTGTTTTCGCCTTGCAAGATTACTTTCACTGGACGTCAACGTTCATAATAACAGTGGGACATCACAAGTTGCACATCACAAGCCACCAAATTATAATGCTCACAGTCACGAATGAAGACAGCAAACTCGTGGTTTGTCACCATTTCGTTATAGCAATGTCACCGTGTCTGACTCTTCTGAGAGGAGGCTGTTGCCAACGTGGTTTCAATTTCGTTTTCACATGCAGGCAATTTTCACCCCCGTATTCTAGAACGTCCCTTCACTGAACGCTTCACCTTCACTTGAGAAAGCCGACGGGAGCGCCTTCCATAGGCACGGCAAGTCACTGCATATCTGCGATAATCTGCTGCAATTCTTGAGTAGCACAGCGTCATTTTCAGTGGAGCAGTGGCACAGTGTTCAACTCTGTCAAGTGAAGGGTGAAAGTCAAGTCGAGGAGCGTTTGTGCATGCTGGGGTTAGACTTTTTTTATCAGTAGAAAAATGCGCGTTGGATTCGATTTTTTTTATCAAATTGAGAGTAAGGGTTCGGTCGCACCTTCTCTAATCATGTAATGCTGCCACTAGCTGCCACTGTCAAGAATAATTGAATCTACGTTCCTTGCAGAGGCACAAGGTCATGCCGTGGGCTTATTCAGGTGGTCTGTACCCGTTTTTTAGGCAAGGCATATTGTCAGTGCCTAAAATTGTAGTTTTCTTAGTATGCGGTGTTCGGATTATACGACAGTTTTGTGTGGTCCCCTCAGTGTCATATAATCGGGGTTCCGCTGTTATTGAAATGCAACTTTGAAAAAAAAAAAAAAAAAAAAAGTGGACCAAAAGACAACTTGTCGCGGAGAGAGACCGAACCTGCAACCTTCGAATAATGTGACCAATGCTCTACCAACCGAGCCACCACGGTGGCTATCCCCCTGTCCACTTTATGGGGCATGTTTGCATATTTAAATGAGGGAGCATGAGTCAGTGCTACCTGTTGCCATTGAAGCGAGTGTGGGTCGCTCATTATTTGCCTGTTGGTGTCTCAAAGCACATGATCTTATTATGAGCTGGCAGCTGACCAATAATCTCTTCCACGCCACATGAAGGCAGTAAGTCTGCGAAAGCGAGACCCTCGCTATGAGTGAAGGTCATTAAGGTAAATTTCAGGGCTAGTTTTTTTTTTGTTATACACAATATAATGAGAAGTGAAGGACACAATATAATGAGAAATGACAGACAGTTATGCCAAGGAAAGTATAGGGGATGTTACGAGAAGTATTTGTATTGTAATTGTGAAGAAAAAGAAGTGGACAAAAACATAAATTGCCTTGGGCAGGGACTGAACCTGCGGTCTTCGAATAATGCGTCCGATGCCCTGAACCTGCGGTCTTCGAATAATGCGTCCGATGCCCTACTAATTTAGCTACTATGGTGAATATCCCCTGATCCACTTTATGGGGTATGTATGTGCATATAAACGTGTGAAGGTCAGTCACCGCCATGTCGTTCACCTTGCGTCTCAGCGCGCAAAGTGTACAACAGCACGTTGAAATGTTGCCGTAGTACACCTCAAAGCGGCTTTGTATTACTGGCTGCCTTTGAGCCTACTCGCCAGAGCGGCACATCATGTAAATTTTAGGTGTGCCACCTGGGCAGCGGTGGCTTTTCCTACGGCGGCTTTTGGTGATCTCGAAACGCTGGTGCTCATGAATGATTGCATCTACTGTGTCACAGGTCTTGCAGATCAGGAGGTTTAATGCATCATCTCCTATACCTTTCAAGATATGCGCCACTTTTCCAGACTCCTGTATGCTGCCATCTGCTTTGTGCAAAGGGTGAGCATGTCTTTTACATAGGACAGGTATAATTCCATGGATGTTTGAACCTGAGAGGCCAGCTTTTTGTTGGCTGCTCTCTCTCTATCATTTGAGTTGCCAAACAGCTAGGGCACGCATGTTTTCTTTGCATGCATCCCAGCTGCCAATATCTGCTACATGATTCTCGAACCACCTTTTTTGGCCGTTTCTTTAAGGTAGAATTGGATTTTCACCAACACAAGTGTGTCATCCCAACGATGGTTCTTGCTGGCCTGTTCATACATCGGCAACCAATCTTTGATGGCAACATTGTAAGTCCCGCCAAACGTGCAGCAGGGTTACCACTGCAGGGGCTGAGCCCTCTTGATACAATTCCCCATTCTTGCACCGAGCTGCGCCAAAACCATAAAATTTGCTGAAATTGCCCCACGCTGCGCCAAAATTCCCTACCTGCTCTCGAAGGTTTCTCAGTTGCGCAAATTTTAGCGAGAAACGGAGGCCACCTTGAATATCTGCTTGCAGTTTGCATCATCAATTAATCCAATGCAGACCCTAATTTTAAACCACGGTGTAAGATTAGGTCAGGGCACTCGCCACACGCGATCGACCAGATAAAGTAACAAAACCACGCGCCGTCGGTCCGCTTACTGCTGTGGGTACTTATAGGGAACCAGCGCTGGAGTGTCTACGACTACCCTGGCAATGAGAGTGCGCACTTCTTAGCTGCTCCTGCAGACGAGAGTGGCGGCTGGTAGAGGCGGTGCGTGCGTGCATCGCTATAAAAAAACTAGAGGGCACTGGCGGTACTACTGCGTATTCAAGTGCAACAATATATAAAAAAAGGGAGTATGTAAAAAGAGGAGGCGTCGTTGCATCTAAGCTGCCAGGCGAGTGAAATTCTGCTCTCGCTCTCCTGTCGCTCTCCTGTCTGGGCTCGCTTCTGAACTGAATGGTGCGTGTCTGCTATATTTATTCTATAGTGAACACAGCAGCCATTGAAAACAAGGGCCAAACAGTGGAGTTTAAACGGCGTTTTGCCAAATATAAAACAAGCGTATTATGCAACATACGGCGTATGTAAACTTTTTTTGTCTGGCTCGTTGAGCCTTGACTCATGCATGTCGAAACTAACAAACTTTCCATGCCTCCATCCAGTTAACCACCACCATCAAACTCCATCTGATGCCACCGGGTGAAGTAAATGATAGGGTAGGCAGGCAGTCTTCTTTTTTTTTTTTTTTTTTTTTGTAAACAGTTGCGTGTAAAGGAAAGCTGCCTTGTTCACAAGACTTGTGCGGGGCCACGTTCACCTACGCCTCTGAGCTGTTATAGAAGGTATTCTAGCGATAAACACTCGATGCCGACATGCCTCTGTTTAACTTAATTTGTGCAAAATACGGGGTTCTTGTTAGGAACAAAGCAGCGAACTACTCAAAGCGTAGTTATCTGGAGTCAGCCGATGCGGTAAGTGTTTTTCTCACTGGCTGCCATGGCTAAGAAACATCATAATTTATACCTTGCCAGAAAAGTATTAAATATCTTTGATTTTTACTCGTTGTTTAGTTTGCCTAACACACGGTTTCAATTTTTCTTGCTTGCCTGTGTTGGCCTAAATGAAGGTGTCTGTTCAACATCGATAATTGCTAGACTTTCATGTGCCAAACAAGATATTATTTTAAGATACGCTGTGGTGTGCGTATCAAGATTGTGACCGCTTGGGATTCTTCAATGCGCACAGATATCTTGGTTCACGGGTGTTTTTTTCTTTTTTTTTATGTTTCACCCCCATCGAAGTGCGGCCTTTGTGGTCGCTAATCTATCTCGCACCCTCAAGAACAGCAGTGCGGCACCACTCGTGCTATGCTGCCACGGTGGTTTGTTGGATCAACATCCCTGTGCATACGTATTGCGGACATAAGTACCAGCGATGCCAGAAAAAAAAAAATGACGCAGCTGCCATTTACTCTGCTTTTCTTTTTTTTTTTTACTGCAGATGTTGGCAGTGTGGTATCGTCGCAGCACGGACTTATCAATCGGGGCATGCCAGCCAGCACTAGCATTAGCCCAAACCCCTGCACACAACAAGAAAATGAGGACACTGGAGCTGCAATTACGACACAGCGCTGTTTCTTCGATACTATATGCATAGATGCAGTCTGCTTCGCAGGGCTTCTCTCCGTTTTTTAGTGTTTTATATGTGAGAGTAGCTTTTGTACAAAGTTGTTTTTTTCTAACTCACAGTGCAGTATTACTGGTGCAATGGCTTTTTGAACTGTTCATTCCAAAATGAAGCTCGGCAGTAGCGCACGCGCATGCTCTCAGAGCGGCACATTGCCGCTGGTCATCTGGGCGCAAGCAGCTGAGTTGTGTCGCGACTCTCCACCAGGTGCTCCTTTTTGGTGTGCTACCTATCCAGCGCTGACCTCCCATCGGCGAGAACTTAAAATAAAAAAAAGCTTTGCTGTAGCCACCAACACTCTGTGGAAAATATTAACTTTCTAGATAGCAAACGTGGCTATGGCCTGTTAGCAAGTGAAGCTGGAAGCATATGCTCCGTTTCCCACGTGTGAAAGGACTCGACGTGCCGCGAGAATAGGCATTGCCGGCAATCAAGTTGGTAAACATATTTCTGTCTTGAAGTTTCATCATCCCGGCGATAGATATCTGGTGCCATCGCCGGGCCAACAAGCGCGCACTGTTTTAATTTTATCTGGTCGAATGCATCTTGCAAGGGAGACAAGAAGTTGTGCCCTAAACCTAACGCTATCGCGAAAAAAATATTAAAAAAAGAGGGGGTGGTGTAGCGGTGTTTCATGACCTGTTTTAACTCGTGTAATTTACTTTCGCCGCAGCACACTGGTTCTCTACAGAAAAGCGGGTACTGATTTTGAGATTTTTATTAGTCACGTGACAGCATAATTTGTTCAACTACTCATGCGTGTATACGATGCATGATTGTTACTAGTAAGATCAATCACGTCTGAAACGATTATTGGCAATTATTTGGAGCAGTGTATGACAGTTTTGGCACCCTAAAAAAAACTTTAACTTTGTGCCAGTTTTTATTTTTTGGCCACCCCTACGAATGCCTGAACTTTAAGCTCGCCAGCTTGGCAAATCCACCTTTGAATACACAGAGGCAGACGTGGCAAATGCTAATGTGCACGCTATTATTATTGGCTCAGTGAGATGGTTCAAAATGCTAATTTTATTGAAAAAGCAGTCCTCTTACTCACACTGCATGATTTAGGGTATGTTTAATGATTTGTACATATTTCTTTTTCTAAATGTAAGACTTCTTCTTCATACTGTTTCAAATTTGGTCTTTCGTGATAAAAAATGAATGTTTTGTTCCCCGTAACCTGCTCCAAAGTTGGATTTCTGTGCTGAAAAAGTAACATTTTGTTGCTCCTAAAACTGCTCCAAATTCTGTTTTGGCTGTTTCACCCCTGCGTCTAGAGACGAAAAGAAAGAAAATACATTATGGGCCGTAAAGTATTTTTTCTTCGAGGGCATCCAGTGCAAAGATGTCCTCACTCAAGATTGTTGTATATGTACCAGGCTTTAATGGCATCTTGAACAAAACAACTTGGTGCTAAACAATATTTTTGGTTGCCACTCAAACCTCTTGCCGTCTACTTCTACTTCGTTCTACATTTAAATGAGGAAGTACTAACAAATGTCCCAAAAGCAAGAGAAAACATTGCTAGCGCCATTGATATAAAAGGTGTCTTTGATAACATAAGCGATAAGGGCATACTAGATGGGCTAGCAGAGACGAACTGCAGTCAAAGTATTTACTATTATGTCGAACTTCCTTACTACAAGAACCACTGTCATCAGTCTAGGAGAAAACTAATCCAAAATCTTTCAGCCACCGAGCAAAGGCACACCACAAGGTACTGTGGTCTTGCTTACACATTTAAATATAGCTATGATTGGTCTAGCCCAAAAACTAATATTTTCCAGACATCCAACACTCTTTCTATGTGGATGATATGGACAACCAAGAGAAAAAGAAGAGTGCCTCCTATTAGCAGCTAAAACAATCAAAAAGTACACTAGATAAAGCGGACTTTAGTGTTCAGGCTACAAATCGGAACTCATTCGATTTTTCAAACGTAAAAAAAAACTAAGGACAGACCCGAGCCTTCGCCTTGAGCTAAAGTTAGATGGCAATGTTACTCCAGAGAAAATGACAGTTCGAAATCTAGGGATGTGACTACAGTAAAATCAGCAATGCCTTCACGCATTGAACATCATTAAACAAACTGCCCAATAAATTGTTCGTATGATAGTCCGAATAATTCCCTCGACTGTGATAGCTGCTATTGCGTAGAAACTCTCAACCATGTCCTGTGCCATTGTCCAGACTTTGAAGAATATCGCCAAACTCTCCAGGGGGCTTTAAGGAGACTGGATAATCGACCCTTTTTTCTGGAAAAGACCTTGGGTGCCACGCGAGCCCTTCTGTCGTTCTTGAGGAAAAGATCACTGTGCGACCACCTGTGAAACCTGCACTCTGTGTGTGTGAACCTCCCTAGCTTTCTGACATTCTTTCCCCCTCTCGCACTAACATACTCACTACCCTACATCATGAATAAGGAGGAGAAAGTAAAAGCGGAAAAAATAATAAGGATAGAGCGGCTCTGCGACTACCACGATGTACTTCAACTGCGAAGCTATTGGCACTTGGACTCCACAATACATTTGATGAGTTGGCTGAAGTTCTCAGATTAACCGCCTGCTTCAGATGCCACCCAGCAGAGAACTACAAAGGATCGGCCTCCATAAATAAGTACAGGCACATAAAAGAACTAAAGAACTGTCGTGCTTATGCAGTGTCTGGTAAAATGTATGCCCCCTACCAAAGAGCACGAATTCAATTCTACGTGCTGGAAGACAGACATAAAGCAAGAGCAGCTTACAGAGATCTAAAGTCAAAATATTTGAAAACGGCGAGATTTACAGAGGCTGCGCCATATCAGTCGAACACAAAAACATGGTGGCCGTGGTCACAGACTGAAAAGAAAACATTACAAGATTTGCCTCCATAGCTGAAGCCTTCATTACAGAAGCAGAGGCGATAGCAATTGCACTGTCACTCAGAGGGCAGGGAGCAAAAAGCCCCACTTAAATAATCACGGCTTCAAAGGCTGCATGTCAGAACTACGAAAGGGGTGGAATAGGTATGAAGGCATTCCAGATTCTAAACAAAGCTAATAAAAACTATCCAATTGAATACGCCCAAACCTTGATCTGGGCGCTGCACAAAGATGTCATTGGGAAGCAGTTTGTGGATGAGGCAGCTCAAGGCTTTACAAATCACCGAGCTTCCTTGCCCACTGCAATAGAGGACCCAATACCCCTAGCCCCTAATTTTGCTACAATTTTGCAGTATAGCAAGGGTAATAAAAAACTGTATTCACTACCGCATAAGAACCTCACTGCAATGGAATCTGCGACATTATGCAGATTCGAGACAAATGGAAAATCAAGATGGGAGTTGACAGATGGAAACACGTAGTGGTGTAATCAAGATAAACAGTGAAGGTGCCTCAGACTGGCTGGATGACACTTCGATAAGAAGATTTATTTTTGTCAAAGGCACCTTGTCATTCTTGGCGTGTTCGTTTTAAGGGGGTTAATAGTGACGTCATCTTTTGGTGGTGGCGTGTGTCCCTGTTGGTAATGGTCGTAAATGTAACTGAATAAATGAATATTTGTTCGCCCATGGAAATGGAAGCAAGAAATCTGATCCATTTACCTGAGTACTGTCGGCCTGAGGTCCAAGTTTTTATAAGTCGACGTCGCCATGGACAATTACACGATGCAATTTAAAGTTGTCTCTGGAGCTTAAATCTTATCTATACCTGATGAGTTTCTCAAAAAAAAATCTATAAAGCAGAAGAGTGCAGTCCTCGCTTCTATTCAAGTTAGGTTGCGATGATACAAAGTGTTCTCTTGTTGAAGGTTGGGGGCAGGGGAAGCAAAAAAGTTAAAAAACAAAATAAGAAAAAGAGGAAGAAAAGGAAGGGATGTAAAGTAGGAGCGGTGGGCTACAAAGCTGCGGCCGCTAGAGACACGAACGAAAAAAAAAAAGCATGAAGTACTCCGAAACCAGCGATGGTCGGGCAGGTCTGCCACCGCAAGAGGTTGCCAAGAATAGCAGGGTCTGCCTGTAGTAATAGCTTTAAGATATAAGTCAAGTTCAACTGCTTGTTCTGGTTCAGGAGTCCAGGTACACTGAGCTTTAAGTGTTGTAGTACCTGTTCCTATTCCGTCGTTTTTGGCGGAATAGGAATAGGTACTGTAGTGACGTGCCCGGGTAGCGCGGATGCCGCTAGCCGAGCCAAAAGTGGGCGTAAATCCCGCGAAGAATGACCCGACAACGCGTAGTTCACAAACAGCAAAAAGCCCCGTTTAATGCCCACCGATGCCTTTTATACAGAGTGGGGGCGCCACCTCCCAGTTACTAGAAGCGACAGGTGGCGTACTCTACATCCCTCCTTCCGGAGCTCTCAAACACAAGTGTTCCAAAAGAGCACCATCAAGAAACAGTCCTTGCAGCAGTCTCACAAATTCAGTCTCTGAGGTGGCACCACTGCGCTGGCCATATCATGTGTAATGGTGACCTGGCGATCCTGCAGCAGGTGCAGGAGCTTGAGTGTCCGATGCGTTACCGGTTGCTGCCCGCTGTGGTCCGGGAGACGGGGCCGATGTCTGGGCCGCAGGGTTGGGGATTTCCGTCTCATCTGAGGGGACCGACTGAAGATTGCTGCAGAGGACAAGGTGTCTGCGGTTTCTCACTAGTATGCCACTGGGTGTCTGGACGATGTACGAGCGGGGTCTCTGAGCAGGGCTTAGGACCGTCGCCCTTGCCCGCGTGTCACACACCCAGACTTCCTCCCCATCGTCGAGAGCACGAAGGTCATGCGCTGCGTGTCGGTTATTGTAGTCTCTCTGTTGTCTTCGTCTCTGGGCGGCATCTCTGTCATTGAATTCCTTCACCTGGGGCCAATCTGAAACAAGGCTTTGAGCCGTGGCTGGCACACGAGTTCGCAGAGAGCGTCCCATGAGCAGTTGGGTTGGGCTGTAGCCAGACACACCTGGAGTGTTACGGTATGCTAGCAGAGCCAGGTTTGTGGCCTTCAGAAACAACTCCTTGATCGTGCGAATCATGCGCTCTGCTTCGCCGTTCGACTGCGGGTAGCGTAGACTGCTCGTGACATCCGTGAAACCGTATGTCTTCCCAAAGTCCTCAAAAGCTTTGCAAGAAAACTGTGGCCCATTGTCGCTGACAACAGTCACCGGGATGCCGTGTCGGGCAAATGTGCTCTTGATCGCATAAATAACGGTTCCTGCAGAAGTGGACCGGAGTGTGAGGACCTCAGGGTACCGAGAACGGCAGTCGACAACCACCAGGAACTCTTGATTAGCAAAATGAAACAAGTCTATGGCCACCCTTTCCCACAGAGCTGATGGTGTCTCGGTCGCAATCATGGGCTCACAGCGCTGAACGCGTATAGAAGCACATGCTGGGCAGTTCTCTACGGCTGCTTTAACCTGGCTGTTGAGACCGGGCCACCACACAGAGCCTCGGGCCACCGCCAAGCACCGATTGATGCCTTGGTGGCCATCGTGCAGCAGGTTCACGATGTCTCTGCGTAGTGCTGCAGGCACAACTAGGCGTCCGCCCATGAACAGCATATTCTCGCATACAGTGAAGTCTCCCCGGTGGTCTCAGTAACGCGTCATGTTGAGCGGCAGACGGTCTCGTCGAGGCCATCCTTTCATGCAGTATGCTTTCAGCATTGAGCACTCGCCGTCTGAAGTTTGGGGAGACCTGAAGTCTTCAAGACGTACGGCCAGGGTTGAAGGAAGGGCTGCCACGACCAGAGACACAAAAATTTCTGTACTGTCCTCTTCGGACATGGAAGAGCCTTCGGGATCCCTAGAGAGGGTGTCTGCCGTGGCCAGGTACTTTCCTGGAACATACTTGACTGTGAACTGATATCGCATGAGCCTTATGCGAAATCTTTGGATGCGAGGGGGCATGAGGTCCAGATCGGCGGAACCAAGCAACCTGACGAGCGGCTGATGGTCGGTTTCAACGACAAAGCTGAGTCCACGCAGGAATTCCTCAAACCTCTTGATAGCCCAAGAGACACCAAGCGCTTCTTTTTCAATCTGACTGTACCGCTGCTCAGTGGTAGTCAGTGCTCTTGACGCGAACGCGACAGCCCGTCGCTTTCCCGTCTGTTGCTCCTGGAAGAGAACCGCGCCTAGCCCAAACGAACTGGCATCTGCCGACACAAGGGTGGGTAGCTCTGCATTGTAGCTGGCCATACAAGCGTTAGATGCCACCATTCCCTTCAATGTCTCGAAAGAGGTTGCTTGCGCATGGTCCCAGGTCCAGACCGCGTTCTTGTTCAACAGGAGCCGTATCAGTGTAGTGACGGCAGACAGGTTCGGTAAAAATCTTCCAATGTGGTTCAGCATGCCCAGGAAACGACGGACGCCATGCGTATCTGTCGGCGGCTTCATGTTCACAATAGCAGATACCTTGTCAGGGTCAGCCGAGATGCCACTGGCGCTCACCACTACACAAAGGAACTTGACGGAAGATATCCCGAAGGAGCATTTCGAGGCATTCAACGTAATACCCGCTTATTCTAACTTGCGAAGGACTGCTTGGAGTCTGCTGTCGTGCTCGGAACGGCTCCTGCCGAATACTAGAATGTCATCTACCATGTTCACACACTCTTCCAGGCCCTCTAAAATCCGAGACATTTGGCGCTGAAATACTTCGGGAGCGGACGTGGTGCCAAAGGGCAGGCGGTGGTAGCAGTAGTGTCCAAACGGTGTTATGAAGGTAGTCAGCTCCTGACAGCTTTCCGATAGCCTTACTTGAGGAAACCCCGATTTTGCATCAAGTTTCGAGAAGACCGCGGCATTGCCAAGACGGCCAAGTACCTGGTCCACTGTGGGCATAAGGTGTCTCTCCCGAAGAACTACTTGGTTCAACTTCGTGAGGTCAACACAAATTCTGTATTCGCCATCGGCTTTGGGCACCAGCACAATACCAGCACACCACGGGGTTGGCACTGTGACTCGCCGAATGACCCCGTCCGTTTCCATGGCATCTAAGTCCTTCTTGACTTCGAGGGGAATAGGGATGCGCCTAGGAAAGCTGAGAGAAAATGGAATCGCTCCCGGCTTGATACGAATGTGGTATTCTTCGGGCATCTCGCCAAGGCCTGAGAACAGCGAAGCTGCGGCCTTGCCTGACGTTGGGGGCCTATTCGGAGCTTCCGCATCTTCCACGGTGTCAACAAACTGGACGACTCTCAGGTCCACTACCACCGAGTACCCCAGCAGAGGAGAGTCATTGTCTGCTACAACGTACAACGTTTTGCATACCGACCGGCCTCGCCACGACAGGGTAGCAGGAAACGTCCCAAGCAACCTTAGGCGGCAGCGGCCCCGCCCCATCAACCGTTCATTATCGGGTTTGTCAAGGTCTACTGGGCACCCGGCGAAGCTCGGAGGTACGGCCGAGACGTCCGCCCCAGTATCCACTTTGCATTGAAGGGGGCGTCCGTGGACATGAACAACAACGTGCCGGCATTCTGTTTGCGAGGCATCCACCGCGCAGAGCTGGGTTTGGCTTAAACGCCTAGTATTATTCGAGCGGCAAACCGCCGCGAAGTGTCCCTTCTTGCGACATTGGTTGCATGTGGCCCACCGTGCTGGGCACTCAGATTGCGGATGAGGGGCGTGGCCGCAAAAAATCGCATGCCGACTTCGGGCGGGCGCGGTACTCGGGAGGCCGACAGACGTTACTTTTACTTCGGGCAGCTTCGCATGCTGGGGCGTCGGCCATTCGGTACTGGTTGTTCGCAACGGCGTCGACGTACAGTGCGTCTGGTGCAAGGCCTGTCCCCTGACGCCGCGATTTCTCATTTTCAGCGTCTTCGTACTGACGCGGCGCCTCGTCCAGTGTAAGCTTTGGATTGCGGCAGAGCTGGTCGGTCAAGCGAGAGTCAAGCGAACCTACGATAAATCTTTCCCGAACCAGCCGATCGTCGATTTCCCGAAAGGCATAGTTGCACTTCTTCACGGGATTTCGGAGCGCCGTGAAAAAGGCGTCGACTGACTCGCCTACCGCTTGCGTGCGCTTGTGGAACCTGCTCGACTCGTATACCTCGTTGACGGGGTGTACAAAATATCCCGAAAGACTTGTTGTCACGCCGGAGTACGAGCGATAGGCCTCGGCGTCTGACATGAGAGACGAAAGCACCTCGCGACCTTGGGGACCCATACAGTAGAGGAGCGTGCGTACCTTGGTTTCTTCGGGGGCGGAGGACAGTGCTAAGGCGAAGGAGTAATCCTGGAATTGTTGAAGCCACGCCGTCTATTGGGCTGGGTTGTCAAAAGTGAACTGCGGCGGATTTCACAGTGTGAAGCTGGCAGTCACGGCGGAGGCGGCGGCTGGGTTATCCTGCATGTTGCACGGTTGTCGCAGGATCCCACTTCTGACACCATGTAGTGACGTGCCCAGGTAGCGCGGACGCCGCTAGCCGAGCCAAAAGTGGGCGTGAAGCCCGCGAAGAATGACCCGACAACGCGTAGTTCTCAAACAGCAAAAAGCCCCGTTTAATGCCCACCGATGCCTTTTATACAGAGTGGGGGCGCCACCTCCCAGTTACTAGAAGCAACAGGTGGCGTTCTCTACAGGTACTACAACACTGAAGAGCGCTTTTCAGTGTTGAACATAGCGGTGGATGTCCCGATGCTGTTTGCCAAGGCCAAATAATTTGCTGCTGCACTCGGTGAAACAACTTCGCTGACAACATTGGGTGTCTTCACCGATTTAAGTAGCACTACAGCATCGTTGGCAAAACGAATTCTTGCGGAAGCGAAGCTGTCAGCAGCCAGGCCATCCAGCAGTGGATGATGAACGAGTGGCCGGAAATCTCTGTGAAGTTTTCTCCCACGGACATCTTCAGTGCCTGGCTTCAGGATGGCGGAACTTGCGGAAACTGGTGAAGACAATGACCACGAGCGCATAGACAATGCATTTTGGGAGTTGTCGTTC